GTACAACGAATTTTACATTTGCAGGGAATAGCAAATCAGTTGCTTGATGCTTTTTGTAACTCTAGCAGAGTCACTAGATCTTATATAGCTGCTGAAAATGTACCTGCTAAAATTTTTATTCCTGAGACAAAATACAAAGTGCTAATGAATCAAATGCATGGCTAAAGCGTGGCAGACCGATAGGTTCCAAAGATAAAAATCCTCGAAAGAAAAGATATACAAATGAAAGGGTTGATGATTTAAATGTTAATCAAAATCCTCAAGAAACAGGTAGTAACATAGATCATATTTCTAAAGAAATTGATCCTGATAAACTCGATAAACAGGTAGTAACATGAAATTATTGAAAATTCAATAAATTATGTTATTACTGAAAAACATTTGAATCGAAATGATACAATTATAGATAATGACTTTGCATACAATGTAACACTTGATCTAATGGAAAATGACGAGGATCCAAAACCTAAATCAGTTGATGAATGTCGGAAAACAATAGATTGGCCAAAATGGAAAGATGCAATCCAGTCTGAATTAAATTCACTGGAAAAACGAAAAAAAATTTGACCCATTGTTCAAACACCTGAAGGTGCTAAGCCTGTTGGCTATAAATGGGTATTTGTTCGAAAACGAAATGAGAATAATAAAATTGCCAGATATAAAGCAAGACTTGTTGCCCAAGGTTTTTCACAAAGACCTGAAGTTGATTTTAATGAAACATATTCTCTAGTAATGGATGGAATAACATTTTGATATCTTGTCAGTTTGGCAGTACATGAAAATTTGGATATGCGTCTGATGGACGTTGTAACTGCATATTTATATGGCTCATTGAATAGTGATATTTACATGAAAATCTCTGAAGGATTTGCCTGATGCATACAAATCAAAGCCAAAAGAATGTTATTCTATTAAATTACAAAAGTCTTTGTATGGTATCAAACAATCTGGTCGCATGTGGTATAATCGTCTCAGTGAATCATTATTGACAGAAGGATATGCCAATGATAGTGTTTGCCCATATATTTTTATAAAAAAATATGGGATAAATTTTGTGATAATAGTTGTTTATGTGGATGACTTGAATTTAATTGGAACCCCTGGAGAGATCCAATAAGCTATTGAATATTTGAAAGGGGAGTTTGAAATTAAAGATTTCGGGAGAACAAAATTTTGTCTTGGTCTACAAATTGAAAATTTGGAAAATGAGATTTTGATACATCTATCTGCATACACCCAAAAGGTATTGAAACGATTTGCGATGGATAAAGCACATTCATTAAGTACTCCAATGGTCGTTAGAACTCTCAATCATATTAAAGATCCATTTAGACCAAAAGAGGAGAATCAGGAAGCACTTGGTCCTGAAGTACCATATTTAAGTGCTATTGGTGCACTAATGTATTTGGCTAACAGTACTAGACCAGATATAGCGTTTGTTGTAAATTTATTGGCCAGATTTAGTGCAATGTCAACACAACGACATTGGAAAGGAATCAAACATATTTTTCGTTATCTCCAATGATCTATTAATCTTGGTCTATAATATCCAAAAGAATCTCGACATGAATTGATTGGATATGCAGATGTTGGGTATCTTTCTGACCCGCATAAAGCCACGTTTCTGACTGGCTATATGTTTACTTGTGGCGATACAGTGGTATCTTAGAGATCCACTAAACAAACATTAACCGCCACATCTTCAAATCATGCAGAAATAATAGCAATTCATGAGGCCAATAGAGAGTGTGTTTGGATAAGATCAATAATTCACCACATTTTACAGAATTGTGGTTTGAAATCTGAAAATGATAATCCTCTTACTGTTTTGTACGAAAATAATGCAGCTTGTATAACGCAACTGAAGGAAGGATATATCAAGGGAGATAGAACGAAACATATTTCACCGAATTTTTTTTTTACTCATGATCTCCAAAAAAATAGTGAAATAAATGTGCAGCATATTCGATCAGACCAAAATTTAATAGATTTGTTGACCGAGGCTTTACCGACCGCAACGTTCGAGAAATTGGTAAAGATCATCGGGATACGTCGGTTGCAAGATTTCAAATGATGTCTACATCAGGGGGAGCGATAGTTCAAGTGATATCCACATCAAGGGAAATATTTTTAATGCATGAATGACATACTTTTTTCATTGACTAGGATTTTTGTCCCGTTGGATTTTTTCCTAATAAGGTTTTAACGAGACATATTCATTGCAATTAAAGACACCTAAGGGAGAGTATTATAAGTCACTATAGGTGCCATCATATTATCATAACATATGTCTATATTTGATGACTAATTATATTGAAAATAACTTATATATAAGTCTCATATTTAATGCAAATATATGACTTTGCATTTCTTGGTATCTTCCTCTCTCTATCGTTTCTATCTCTCTCTGGATTATATATATACATATATATTTTTTATTACATATCTGGGTTAGAAATTTTAGATTTGTTTATTCATTTAAGTAGTGCAATTTTCAATAAATATTAAAATATATATAATATCGTATACTATATATACTTGGAGACGAAATTATTCTACTACGTTGGTTTTGTGATTTTCTCTTTTCTCTTTTTTTTCTTTTTTTCTAAATTTTTTGGTGGGCCCAACTATTAAAATAATATTAAAAAAAAAAGGATTGGGAGAAGACTGAACGGGGAGAGGAAGTGGGAATGCAACGGCCATTTTTATTATTTATTATATATTTATTTATATGTGATTTTATATATATAATATATTATTTCATAAAATTTTTATTTATATTTATTTAAATTATAATACTATTATAATACTATAATAATTAATAAATATTGTTATTATTCTTATTTTGTTACATAAATAATTATTAATTATTTATTATATGTTGCATAAATTCTCTCAAAATTTATCATATGACGCATTAATGTAAATAAAAATAAATATTGTGATATGTAATAGAGTTTATACTTCGTAAAAAAAATTGATATTTTGTATTTGAATATCAGAACAATTGTAAATTTATTAGTTTTCAAACGAAAAGATAAGTATTTTATTCAAAATGAACAATAAAATAGGTGGCTGAAAATAAACAAACAAATATAATTTTGATACTTTATCACTTATTTCTATCATTTAATTAGAAATTTAGAAAAAAAAAAACATTTTTATCAAAGTAATTTTTTTATTGTAAATATAAACTTTTTTAAAAAATAAATATAATTTAGATAGATTATATACAATTATATACATTATAAAATACAGACTAAATTGCATAAAATTCACATGTAGTTTCACGAAATTGCGCCAAATCCCCCGTGCTTACTCCCTTATGGTTTTATAAACTCTGCGTTTAACCCCTCGGCGGTCCTTATTTAACAATATTTAACCTAAATGCCGTTAAATAAGGACCGCCGAAGGAGTTAGACATAGAGTTTATGAAACCACGAGGGAGTTTGACGCAGTTTTAAAAGTATAAGAGATTTGACGTAATTTTACGAAACAACGGGTAGATTTTGTACAATTTAGCCTAAAATATAAAATAAAAAGATAAAAAAATAATATATGAAATCTTTAATTTTTGTAAAAGGATAAATATATATTGGGAATGTATTAAAAAAAAAAATGATGGGTAAACAAACTTTCAAAATATTGCTTATACATATTTATTTATTAATCTATTAAAATAATAAAATGGTACATACGACTGAGATGGTTGGAATAATATTTAGACTTTTTTTTTCATAAATATTAAATCAAAATTCTATTTAAACTAAAATTTTAAGAAATATCTAATTTTAAATAAAAATCAAAGAAACTTATTTATACTCTTATAATACAAAATATAATTAACTTTAAATTGATTGTTTTTTTGGATCAATTGCAAATTCTATAATTTTTTTTTATATTTTTTAATAATGAATTGTTTTACGTTTTTATTTCTTATCAATTTATATTTATAATTAATAAAAAAAAAAACCTTAATTTAACAATAACTACATATGTATAAAAATATTATCTTATTTGTGTTACTTTTTTTTTTTTTTTTTGGATATATATAATATTAGAAAGATAAATATATTGAAAAGATGATTAATCAAATTTTCGATAGCAATATTTAAATTAATTAATATAAATATAAAAATATATAATATTCAATATAGGATAAGTAAGTAGATTATGTATTATTTTTACTCCATTTATCTGATTTTTTTATGTCATATTGTTTCGATATAAAAACTAAGAAATAAAAGTATTTTCATGAAAGAATAGGGTAGCTAAAAAATAAATTAAGGATATTATAGTGAGATAAGTGAAAAAATAATGGCAAATTTGATCATTATTCGTTCAAATAAGAATAATAAAATTATGGCCCTATTAAAAAATATGGTATAATTATTATAAGCGGATAAAATATTTTATAATTTAATTATTTTAAAATGACAGTGACAAATTAATTAATTTTGACTTTGGTTTTGTTCAGAAATCATAAATTTTTAACATAATTTTCAATTAAATTATAACTTTAAAAATTACTTATAAAAACATTAACAGACTTCATTTTCGCAATATTTATATTTAATGGATAAAATATATTAATTTCTAATATTTAGAATACTAAACTTGATCGTGATAAATATTTTTTTTTAATTCAAATGATTTTCATATTAAAATATTATATATTTCATAATAAAAAAAATAATTTTAATAATTTAATAAAATTTATAATTATTCCCCTACATCATACGGCTCTCTTTATTATATAAAAATAGTAATATAATATGTATAATATATATATTTTTTATTTATTCAAAAATTAATAATTAATTGCAAAATATTCTTTTTTTTATATCAATTCCAAAGTGAACGAAGCCTTCCTATTTATAAATTCAGATACGAAATTAATCATCTTACTGTAAGCGTGTAACGAATACAACGTTTTCTAATGTCGCATCTATATAGTAACAGACTCCGAAATAATAAATAAATACAAATACATACTTGATATACCGAGGCTTAGAGGAAACATCTCATCAAATCCCAAATCGTTTTATTTTTTAGGGCAAAAGGTTTTAGGGTTTTCGGATCGGAGGGAGCTTCGACAAATTCGTCGCGATGGCAGCGATCAGCTTGCGCAAGGGTAACACTCGGCTCCCGCCTGAGGTGAATCGAGTGCTCTACGTGCGTAACTTGCCGTTCAATATAACGAGCGAGGAGATGTACGACATATTCGGCAAGTACGGCGCGATAAGGCAGATTCGCATCGGGACGAACAAGGACACGCGCGGCACCGCTTTTGTGGTGTATGAGGATATCTACGATGCCAAGACCGCCGTCGACCACCTGTCGGGTTTCAACGTGGCGAATAGGTATCTCATTGTTTTGTATTACCAGCAGGCGAAGATGAGCAAGAAGTTTGACCAGAAGAAGAAGGAAGACGAGATTCAGAAGTTGCAGGAGAAGTACGGGATTGGCACTCCTGCTGCTTCCAAAGATAAGTAACGTGTTTTTCGTTAACTAGTTTTAAGATCCACCAAACGAAGCTGCCTCTGCAGCTGTTGTCTCGGCATTATTTAGGCCTTCGTACTTACCAAAGTGTTTGTATAAAAAAACTCGTATTAATGGAATTTTAATCACAAATATGGATCTGAGCCGTGTTCTTGTCAGTGTTTACTTGCTTATTATTCGTGCCATTTATAACTTGCTTAAGATTAAATTAACAGAGCTAGCTTTCAGTGTCTGTCTTAAATGTGCATTTTATTTGCCTTTTCATATTCTATCTTATCTAATCAGCGAAGAGATGATAACGGTGATGAATCAGTTTGTGATGAATTATTTACATGAAGAGAGAGCTTCTGTAATGTTGTTAGGTTACATTCATGAACAACATTATGAACCTCTTGAGAAATAAGTATGTCTGTGTATATGTGTATGTCTTTATTGGGATAACACTTTATGGTTGGCTTAGGTAATAGGACATGTGGGCTGATGGTGTGAAAATACAAGACTGGCAGAAATGTGAACTTAAAATATCAAGTTATGAATGCAAATCTTGTATTGCAAGATATTTAATATTCCGTTTGTTTATTAAAATTATCAAAATAAGCATTACTGATGATGTCCCCCTTGTTCTTGGAACCAACTGTGACAATTATGCCAAAACTTTCTCTGGTTCCACCTGATGGAACAAGGGAAAGTAATAGATGGTGTGGTTCCTATTATCAAATTCCACCCAAGATATATCCTTTATATATATATATATATATATATTAAATGATGACTTCTGTTGTCATCTTCGACATCTTGGAATTTTGATATGGTCTATTCTGCCCATTCTGTTCTATGCATTGTTGCTGTTATTCTGACTGAATTTTGTAAGTAGATAGGAATAAATGTTCTTATGATCTGTTGTTGATGTTTTGAAGGAGACACCGCTCATAATTGTTTGAATTTTCAAGAACTTGAAGCTTTTCTCAATTGCTTGCATTTCATATTCAGATAGCTTTATATCAATGCTCTCGACCTCTGTGTTTACTCTTCCATTCTGGGAATTCTGTACAGGTTGGTTCCATCATGGTCTACCTGTGGTGTCTACTGTGTTAAGTTGTGAAAGTTGTATGCATAACGGTCCAGAGTTTTTATAGGAGTTTATAAAAATGGTTATGACTATTTATACGCAGAGAGTGCACAATCCCATTAACGAGTTCACTAGTAAGAACTTGTGTGTATGATCTCCTTAGATTATTAGGATGTGTGAATGTCCTATTAAAATGACTCGTTGATTCATGCAGTGATACAGAGGTTATGGGAGACAGATATATTGATATATAGCACAAAATAAATATTGTGTTACATAGAAATATGTGATGTGCAATTTTTATATTTTATTGTACTTTATAAATATATTTTTGCGCTGAAATCTATAATATATTGTACTATCATTCTATTATATATGTATTGTTAGTTTTTGACACAGTCAACATGGAAATTGCTCCGAGAGGATATTTTATGTGCCTTAACCAAATTACATTGCAAATACAAACATTACAAATACAATCGAAATATTTATAATTAAAATAAAAACAAATAACTTAATTATTCATCGAACCAAATTTTTGTTAAATTTTCTCAACCAAATTTGTTTAGGAGTTGCTGATGTATTTTTCTGTTTCGAAATCGCATTCTATTTTTTATAAATTCAATTATTCCTACATGTCCATCCGCAAAATATGATTGACTTGAATCCCTAAGATTTTTGTCCTCATTTGTTCGAATTGGGATACATTATAAAGATATGTATATCTTTTATCTTCAACGATCAGATTATGGAAAATATGATACATGTTTTTATTATCTTACCAATTAAATCAATATCTCAAATGGGTGACGGGCGTCGATAGTAGCAAATCGAGTTTACAAACTACTAAAAGCACGTTTTATATCCTTTCAAGCAGCTTTTTGACGTCTATGTGCAAATAATTGCATCTTAGGTCTTTGAGGCAGACGAATAAATTAGATAAATGTCGCACATGGAGAATATATTCCATACGTAACAAAGTTGTTTGTTACAAACATTTTTTGAAGTGAAATGTAACGTAGAGCTTTATAATTTACATTATATGAAATAAATAATACTTCCTTTGTCCCACAAAGAATGAACCCACACGGTATTTTAGGTAGTGTAGATTAGTAAATTATTAATAATGTACATTATATGAAATAAATAATACTCCCTCCGTCCCACAAAGGATGAACCCACACGGTATTTTAGGTAGTGTAGATTAGTAAATTATTAATAATGAGTTATTATATGATTTTATTATTTTTATATGAGTAGTATTATTGGTATTTTAAATATTTTTTTTGGATTATATCTCAATAAAATATATGTAATATATGAATATCAAAAATTTTATATAATACAAATAAATAAAAAATATATTTATTTATTTATAATTAACTTAAAACAAATTTTATAAAAATAAGAAGTTTTAAATATAGATAAAAATATTTGTTTATTGAAGAGAGATAAAAATAAAGGGATTTTGAGTGGTCGTACGTGTAAGAAGTTAGAAATTTAATTAAATTGATTTATATTTGTTAATTATGTTTTAAGATAATAAATTTACTAAAAATAAAAAAAGAGTAATTTTTTACTGGAGGGACAAAAAAGAAAAAGATGTCATTTGTGGCTGAACAGAGAGAGTGTGTAATAATAATGATGATGTGAAATAATAATAATAACATATATTAAAAAATATGTAAATTAAAAGTACAATAATAAAGTAATTGAAAATAAATTTGATGACAAAATAATAATAGTAATGTGATCTAACAATTATGTTCAAAGCTAATTAGTACAATAATAAATAATAATGTGATATAATAGTGGAAATTTGTTTAAAGCTATCCGTATAATAGTAAACTATGATGTGATATAGCAATACAAGTGTGATTAAACCTACCTAATACAATAATAAACTATAATGTGATCTAACAATGCAAGTGTGTTCAAAACTACTAGTACAATAATAAATAATGACATGATATAACAATGCAAAGTTTGTTTATAGCTACCTAGTATAATAAGAAATTATGATGTAATATAACAATGCAAGTGTGTTTAAAGCTACCTAGTACAATAATAATCTATGATGTGATGTAATAATGCAAGTGTGTTCAAAGCTAACTAGTACAATAATCAATAATAATGTCATATAACAATGCAAGTGTATTTAAAGCTATCTAATACAATAATAAACTATGATGTGATCTAAAAATATAAGTATGTTCAAACAAATCTAGTACAATAATAAATTATGATGTCATCTAACAATACAATTTTTAAAGCTCAATAAGAGAAAAATTGAAAATAATTGATCACTACTACAATGATAAAATAATAATAATAATAATATTGTGATGTGATATAACAATGCATTTAAAATAGTTAAATAAGACAAAATTAGATTGATTTAATTTAACAAGACATAATATATATAAATAATATTTCTTCCGTCCACTTTGAGAGTTTATATTTACTTTTTGTGTGCTGATTTTTTAATATTAATTATTATATCAAAACGTAGTATTAATCAAGGAAAAATGACAAAAAATGCTTCTATTAGTGTCTTATAATACTAATAGAAGGACGTTTATACAAATAATACTTTTAATAATAAGTACAATGAAACAAAAGGTAAATGTAAACTTATACAAATATATACTCTCTTCGTTCCATGTAATATGTCCATATTACTGTAGATATAAGATTTTAGGTAAAATATAATTAGTAGGTAGTTAAGAAATTTATTCGTGAAAATACTTATAAATATAATAAATACTACTATAGATTAAAATTAAAATAACGAAATAATTAATTAAGATTAAAAAATTATAAATTATGAAATTTAAAATATGATTAAAGTGTATAATTATATTTCAAAAAAGGAAATGACAAATTATGTGAAACGGACGAAAATGAAAAATGTGGACATTTTATATGGAACGGAGGGAGTATAACTTATAGAATGTGTAAATTTTTCTGTAAATATGCTTGCATTTTACAAATCAAAACACATCAACTTTCAAAGATCTTCAGGTTTTTAAGTTACAATATTTTCTCCAACTGCTCTACCTTCAAGTTTTAACAATAGAGCTAAACACTCAAGAATCTTCAAATTTACAAAAGCTTTTTTCATTTCAAAGTTTTACGAACATGCTTGAAAATGAAGAATGTATACAAAATTCTTTCAATCCTAATGTTTCTTAAAATTTTCAAACCTCTATTCCAAGTTTTTACGCCTCTATCATATTATTCTATTCCTCCATACTACTATTATCCTCAAAATTTTCAATCTTTTGAAGGTTCATCATATCTTTAAAACTTTCAATTATTTCAAGGTTCATTATCCTCAATCGATGAGTTTTACGCACAATATACGAATGGAAGGTATTCTTAAATTTTGCACACAAGCCAGTCAACAAGATGAAGATAATGTACAAATAATTGCTCCAACGATAGAGACCAAAATAAAGTGGACTCATGAATAAGATTTGATTCTTATTAGTAGATGACTTAACACAAGCAAAGATGCACTAATAGACATTGATAGAAAAGATATTACTTTTTGGAAAAAAATTCTCAATATTTTAATGATAACAAATTTGGAGCAGGGCTGCCAAAAAGTGAAAACCAATGCAAGAATCGTTGGATAAAGATAAATCAAACAATTTCAAAATTTGTTAAGTGCTTTCAACAAGCTAACCAACAAAGAATAAACGAAGAATCTATTGATAATGTCTTGAGTCAGAAACATCAAATATATTCTACAGATTGTAAAAAATCATTTATTTATGAACACATTTGGCGTGAATTAAAACCTGAGCCAAAATGAAATACTAGTCATCGTGGTATAAATGTTATCCATTAAGCATCTTATGATAGTGAAATTGACCCAAAGATAACTAGAATTAATAAAGATGGTGGATATTCGTCTAACTCAAATATAACAACACCACATAGTGATGGAGATGAAGAATCTCCATCAATTCGTCCTCCAAGTGTGAAAGCGTGTAAAAATAAAGACAAACGGACACTGAAGAAATATTCAAATTCACTTTCCTCCGATTACTTTGAAGAGCTACAAGCTAAAAGTAAAGAAGTTGCATCAATTCGTTCGCATGACACAACTGAAGGAAGAAAAAATTAAAAGCAACGAGCGTATTGCAAAAATAAAATTTTATCGAACACTGGTGAAGAAAGATAATTTGATGGAGTACGATATGCTTATTAAGACTAAATGGTTCGAAGAGTTGTTTTAAATATTTTTTAGATTATATGTATTTTGTTCTATATTATTCAAATCAGCTTGTATTTTATTTTATGTTAATATCTTATTATTAATTATGTATATATAATTAACTATAAACTAAATACTTTATCCGTCCCGATTATCATGTTCGCTTTACTGTAGAGACGAAAATTTAGGAGATGTATAATTAGTAAATAATTAAGAATGTATTAGTAAAAATAATTATTGTATAATAAAAATAATTATATATTAAGATTAAGATAATTAATTAGTCTAATTAAAATTAAAAAATTTAAAATAAGATTAAAGTGTATTTTTTTTAAAAAAAAATAACAAAATAAGTGGGACAAATGAGAATAAAAATGTAGACATGGAGTGGGACGAAAAAAGTATAATTTATTGTTTAATATAATTTATATTATTTAATTGTGTTAAAATTTATAATTATATTTTATTCAATAAATTAAATTATTTTTATTAATATTGATTTTTTTTAATAATATTTGTACTTATATATTTAAAATTTAAAGTGATAAAAACATTCTAATATTGGTATCATTTTATAGAATACAAAATTTTATGAATTATAAAAATATTTTATAAAATTTAAATATAATAAAAAAAATTAATATAATTTTTTTTTAAAAAAAAACTATTTTATATGCACAAGTTACAATATGATATGTTAAATGGTACACATGACATAAAAAAAGTTGAAATCTCACAAGACGTTCTACCAGCGTCACTCTATCGAATATCTCATTTTTTGTTTTTAAAATAACGACGTAACACGGATCTTCAATGGAGATTCCTACGTTGCGGGTGATCTAAGGGTGTTTTTAGACAATTAACTATTAGCTGGTTTGGTTTGATCAGCTAAATATATTAATTATTTGTGCTAAAATATTTGGTATCAATTGTTTGGTAATGCAAATTAAGGATTTTAGTTTGTAGGATTTTTTTAGAATTTTTGTTATTGAGAATCATGAAAATATTATTAAGATATTATTTTTGTTATTTTTTAGATGTTTTGTGAAAAAATATAAAATGATATTTCATTTGTCTTATTTGTGTCATTAAAGAATATGTTTATTCCTTTTAGGAAAAAATTATACTATTCTCTTCCATGTTAAATTCCTAAAAAAGTAGCACACTATTAAAATTAGCTAGGGTAAATCATACTCTATCCGTCTCCCTCTAAAAGTCACATTTACATTTTGCGTCATTGTACTTAATATTAAAAATATTTTTATATATTTGTATAATCTTTTTTACAAATATCATTCTATTAGTATTATAAGACACTAATTGAATTAGTTTTGCAAGTTTTTCTTAATTTTGTACTACGTTTTGATATAATAATTAATATTCAAATATCAACATGCAAAAAAATAAATGAAATCTTTAAAGCCGGACGGAGGTAGTATTACTTTCTATTTTTTCTTTAACTTTTTTTTTTTTTTAATTTTTACTTCTTTATTAAAAAATACCCATTATATTAAAATTTATGTCCAAATCAAATATACATAGTTTTTTGCAATTGAGAGAGTCTATTTTTTTTTAATTGAAATATGAGTATTTTTAATTGAAAATTATATATAATGTAAAATAAATAAATAAATTATACATATATTTATTTTTATTATGTTAAATTTTAATTAATTTATTATTTCATTAAATTTATAATTTTTTAAATAAATTTATCTATTTTAATATAAAATATACTCCATTCGTCTAACTCTAAAATGGTCATTTGGAATTTTGTAATAGATTAAAAAGTAATACTCCCTCTATCTTAATTCAAAATACTATTTTTATCATTTTGGTCCGTTCAACTTCAAATATCCATTTCCTATCTTAAAAAAAAGTTAACCATACGACTAATACCAAAATACCATTTAACTTTTACTTAAATTATTTTTTACAAGGACAAAAATGTTAAAATCTCTTACACACTTTTAATAACTAATAAATAATAAAAATAATAAATAATAAAATAATAAATGAATACTTTTGACTGGGAGAAAAATAGTAAAAAATTATTTTGAATTGTGATGGAGAAAATAGGTGATAAAAATTATATAAAGATAAATTAATAATATTAATGGTTTTATTTTAATTTTAACAAATTTTAAATATTTTATAAATAAAATAATAAACATGAAAAATTAATTATTTTAAATTATAAAAATAAATCCATTACTTATTAAAAATATTAAAAAATTAATAAATAATGTAATAAAAAATATATAAATAATCTATATAAGTAAGTTACTGGATAATTATATTTTAAAAAATAGAATCAAAATACTAATGTTGAATGCTGGAATAAATAGAATCAAAATACTAATGTTAAATGCTGGAATATGCTCAGCTCAACATAAAATGTCCATTTTTCTATTATCATTTGTTTCACATAATTTGTTATTATATTTTTTAATAATATAATTATACATTTTAATCGCATTTTAAATTTTATAATTTTCTAAATCTTAATTAAACTATTTAATTATTTTAATATTTTCAATCAATAATTATTTTTGTTATACCCTGTTTGTTATTAAATAAACTAAAAATCGATAAATCCTCAAATACTCTTTAAAAATATTTTTAGATTGTAAGGGCCACCTAATAAGAAATGTGTGGTATTTTGATATTTTTTGGTGAAATAATAAGATGGTGTTTACCCATATGTGTATTATCTTTGGATGTTTAAAATGACATCATGTATTTATGATTAGTGGATGCGGAGAGTATTATTACATTGCTGAGTCATCTATGGTGTCTAATAGGTTGTATTGATTACTTATTTATTTATTATTATTTTTTTTTATGACGCAGAATTTGCCATCGCTATCTGAAAGTATATACCGAATAAATATCCGATCGAACCTAATATCCAAGTCACCACGTGTGTGACCTTAAACATGAGGGTTTGAACAATGTATTTGCTTGTGGATTTTAATTTTTGAGATTGAATTTTTAAATAGTAAAAAATTGAATTTTAATACTAGTTAATTGATTTGATATAAATAGAAATTGAGGTGATATTTTGAATGTAAAAAACAATTGCAGTTTTGATTTAATATTTTTGAAAATAAAAATAAAAATAAAATAATAAAAACTTGTAGTAAAATCCAAAAAAGACACAAGTAAGTTTCTCTGAAGGCCATCATCCTAAACGTCATTAGCAGCCAATGCTCCACAAATATACAAGCTAAGGAGAAATGAGAATTTGAATTTCAAGCAATACTAATTTCATCCAATCCAATGATGGATGATAGGATAATAAAACACACAAGAAAGTGAAAACAACAAAGTCAGTAAGTCGGGATTGAAGGATCCGCTTTAACAGCATATTGATGAATTCCTCCATCAATGTTGAAAACTTTCCTGAAACCCTGCTGACCACACACGCATTCCAAATTCAGTTCTAATACGTACATACATACATTGTTCATGAAAGCACACTCGGCCTTACCTGTGACTGCAACCACTGGGCCACTTGCATCGACCGCATACCATGGTGGCACTGCATCAAACACCACAGACGACGTATCAGTTTGGTTAGGGAATAAGATATAACAGACAAGACTCCAGAAAAAGGAGCATACAAAACATAATGCGCAACTGCAATCGACAAACTAGAGCTAACATACATATCCATAAGAAACTGTTCCTGTTCAAGCTGCGAAAACAAATAACCTTTTGGTAGCTCACACATTAACTAATGTGTAAAGGAGTGACGAAAAAGGGCAAGACCAACTGTTCTTAAGGAGAACCAAACAAAATAAAGTAAGTCCTGCTATATATACCGCCCAATTCAGATTACATACCAGAACATATGTATCTTTCTCTGGATCAAACTTCTGTGCGATTTCAGGTCCCCAGTTTGCAAACTGCCTAAGCGGAAGAACTTTGAAACCGGGCAATGAAGCTTGTGCCCTGTAGTAAACAGTAATGCTAATGACCGACTTTGCAATAATAATTAATCAGGGGTTTGCAAATAATCGACAGTCATCTGTAATAAAGTGACAAGCTTATGCCTCAGGTCATCTCAAATCAGAATTAGGACATGGATGGGCACCGGCATATGAGCATATTTTTAGATAACTTGCATATGTAGACGTTTATCTGGTTCTCATCGAGTAATTCTACGTGCGCAACGAATTTCTGTAATTATAGGATACTAGACAGTCAAGTATGTACATACACTTCATCAGGTTCCCTAACATCAATCAGTTGCGCCTCTTCGACAAAAGATGGATCTTGCAAATTCTCATGAAGCTCAATTGGTTGAATTTGTTGAAGAACAGATTCCTCTCTGTGTGTACCCAAAGGAAAGAAATCAAGAAATGATTATTATACACTCGCAAAGGGCATATGCTTCAATTTCATTCCAAATTATACCTTTCAGACAGAACTTGCAACAAGTGCCACCCGAAGTTTGTCTTGCAACTCACAATTTTATTTAGGGGAGCATTGAACGCGGCATCTTCAAATTCGGGCACCTGTTGTGGTCACCATGAAGATACTTCTTTCACAAAAGCAAATTGGACGAAAAATGTTAGAAGCAATGCAAATTCCTAAGTTCAATTTTCAAATGCCAAAGCGTCAGAAATAACAACAAATTCATCATATACACCCATCAGAAAATCGACCAATTTTGTTTAACATTAGTCTTAAATGTAAGAAGATTACTTTTCTAAGCTGGAAAAGATGCTCGAGATACAGATGAACAAGAACAAGAACAAGAACGCATACCATCTGTCCCTTTTTCACCCAACCAAGCATCCCACCTTCCTCTTTCGATGGACAGATCGAGTATTCAACAGCCAAATCACTCAAATCCTCACCTAAACACAACAAGTAATTCTTTGTCAACAGAGTTCGTAGAGTAAACTAACACACTTTTCTTTATAAAACTAACTTTAACCGAAAATAAAGGCAAATCAACTGAACTATTTGTAAGGAAACGCTTGATTTCCTTCATCTCTAAAACTTCTCAGTCCATCAATCCCTTGAAAAACAATATATTTATACAATGCCTAAACTATTATGTCTTATATTTATCGATTGTGAAAACTACATTTGTGAATATTGGCGAAACACATAAATACCAAAAATCCAGCAATTCTACGAATCCCCGGGCTCCTATATTCTTCTGTATTAGCATCTAATCATCAGCACGCAGACAATGAAGGAAGCTAACCTTGAGCAGCTCTTCTCTGCAACTCAAGCAAAAGTTTCTGATCATCTTCTTTTACAAGCAAATGCTGCACTAATATTTCTCTGCCACCCGAGTTGCTTCCGGAGCTAAATGAGGCTGAAGAACATTAAATATTTTTACCCCAATTTAGTTCAATCAAACTCAAAGTTCAGCTACAAGATTACATGGATACAATACTGATCTAATACGATGCTAAAATTATGCCTAAGCACCACATAAGTAGGAAAGTTAAATCTCAAGACGCAATAAATTTGTTCAAAACAGGTTTAGCATATTTTAGTGGATGAAACTAAACCCTAGAAAATAATCAGGTACGGATCCGATTACAATTACCACCATAGAAACAAAAGCAGTATGAACCATTTTCGGGGTATGAAGAAAGAAGAGAGGTTTCTGATAGGATAGGAGATTAATATAAACAAACCTGTAGCCCTGGGGATGCAAGGATGACCGGTCATCCCCGAAACTCGATCGAATCTGGAGCTAAAATTATAACAGATACGGCGATTGAGGAGCAAAGAATGCGGGGCACTGATTTGGGAAGGACGATGAGGCCTTGGCAGTAGTGAAGAGGAAAAGCACCTACGAACTTTGGGGGCGGGGATAAGAGCATAGAGGGGGGACGGAGAAGCCAACAAACGAGGGGGAAGGCAGTTGGAGGAAGATCTTAACATTTCTAGGCTGCTTCCTTACAAGAAAATTTTCCGGCGGGTTTGCTGGTTGCACTCTAAAACGGCGGAAGATAGCGACGATGATGATTGATGACTTGAACGTTCGTTCGTTCGTTCGGTTTGATTCTTTGATTCCAGGTATAAACATTTTAGAACTGTTTTTCAACTTGTCCAGGGTTGGACAGGCCCATTTTAACTCGAGATTAAGATTAAGTCTGTTTTTTAGCAGAACAATTTAAAATCGGACCGGGTCCGAATCCGGCCTATCTCAGCTCCAAAACGATCGAAATCGGCCCAGACCAGAAAATCCACATTAAATAATCTTTTATTAAACTTTTAAAAGAAATACACAATTGAAGTTAAATTTCTCTGCCTATTATTTAGTTCAGATTCACTTTTTATTTATAAACCCTTTCTCCGAATTCTTTTATTTACCATTTTTCATTCTTCTACCTCCCTATCATCAATTTTTTTTTTCTCTTTCCCTTTTTTGTTTTTTTACGCGCAAAATTCTCCTATATTTGTTGAGCCATTTCCTGTAAGCCAGAAGCAAGTTTCATTTCTCTTCCCTTCATCCACTGTCCGGCCGGTTCTCTATTATCTTTTTGTGTGATTTTGTTTGAAAACTCCCAAGGGCAGTCACCGGCTCCGGTTCTCTGTCATCGGAGGTCGCACGATTCCATCGGAGAACTCCCGAGAGCTGTCACCAGCGATCTCCAAATTGACACCACTCTCCGGTTGGCCCGGGTGCACGGTCGCCATCCTTGGATCGTCCTCTGCAGTGATCGGTCGTCTCTGTTCTCCGGTGAAATTTGAATCAAATATTTGCAAGGTTTGTATTCGTATATGTAGCATTTAGGTTATTAAGGAAATTGTTATTTTGGGGAAAATATTTGGGTACTTCTTGGGTGATTTTTTTTTTTTTTTTGGATGACGTAGGAACCCGCAGCCGTTATTTGTTTTCTTGGGTGATTTTGATAATGAATTCTATTGTTATTGGGTATTTATGTTGCTATTTTGAGAAGTATGTCGTAATTTTTATTTTGTGAATTGGGTAATTTGTTGCTATTGGGATTAGTACATACTATAATTTCATAAGAACATATAATTTTAGTGTATTCTATGTAAGATTGTTGAATCTCTTATATGACTTAACATCACTTAACATAGTTAATACATCAATTGGATTGATAGGTTCCGATGGACATAGAGCAAAGTGGTCCGAAATTATTAATCATTTTGACTTTTTTTGCATCTATTTTTGTACCGCAAACCATCCACTATAATTTGGAGCCCGGGTTAATTCTCCTTGATTTTTTAACCTTTCTGCTAATTTAAAGAAATATTAGATTTAATCATAGATAGGTAAGTCAACAATTCTAAAATTTCATATGATCCCGTTACCTTACACAATAAAAATATAATTTTTTAAAAACAATAAAATCTAAAATTCATGCCAAGAAAAACAGACAGCTTTCTTTTTCAACAGAGCATCTGCACAACTTTTTGATTTGCTAATTATAATAAATTGAAAATATCTCAATATAATATGGATTTCCACAATATTTTATTTTTTTGGGTGATGTTTGAAATTTTTTCTAACTACAACTATTGATATGTTGAATCACTAGTATTATCACAGTGTATGTTTATAGAACATGTTGTTAATAAGGTAAATATATGATGCAATGTAAATCTGATGATACAGTGGATTATCTTAAATGTTATCTTCATTCACGGTGGACAGAAATTTATCAAAATGTGCATCATTTTGTTCCACCTTATTCCATGCTACGATTTCACCGCTATATTTTTTTTTCGATCGACATCAGTGAAGAGCACAGAGCTCTCTGTTTTTTTGGGTGTGAAATGATTTATTTTGGATAATGATCACGAGCTTAGTACATAAATTTTCATTTCAATACATGCATTTCCTTAATTGTTTTTTCCAAATTATTGATTGTCTTATTAATTACATAAAATAAATTACATATAATACCCATTCACACAATATCATCCATTAATCTATCTGCCCATCCAACCTCCTCAGTACATTCAAGTCTGTCCTGAATATTACAATCAAGAGAATATCCGTACCTCTTTTAGTTTTGTTCAAATGATAATTCCTTCATTCTTGCCAATCGAGGATACAACATTTCTTTGCAGTCTTTGTCTTGTAATTCTTCAATGGTAATATAGATGGTAAGCTTATCATTGTCTTCGTTTCCCATATAATAAACCATTAATGATAATTAACTTTCAAACTAGGGGATAATTGAGACGTCATTCAACCTTTAATATGGAAAACTATTTATCATTTGATGCAAAAATTCAAACACCATAATCCATCTTAAATGACCGAATTATTTATTTTATTTTATTTTATTTTAATTTTGCTTCTCCTTCTTGGCCTTATGTTTTAGTCTGCATCACACTTGGATTGAAAACTCATAGAACGTTGAGAATTATAATTTAATCACTAGATCTATAATATAGAATACATGTTTTCATATAATTTTGTGTATATAAAAAGAATAATTAGTAATTTTGGCGCCCAACTATATTTCAATAAGAAAAATTCAGGTAGGATTTGCTATGCTATTTGTGGTTTGTGCCAATTTGACTTATCCATATACTTTGAGGGCCAAATCAAATTTTGTAAAGGAATCCACATATAGGTAAAATATAAATAGTAACTTTATGTTGTGCAGCTAAGGTCATATGCGGCACCGAAATGTTATTGAATTAACATTGAATGCTAATTTTACTAAGTTGTTACTTTTCAGTCCGAAAATTTCCCTTTGAACAAAACAAACTTATCACACATAATGAACAAATTCAAAGATAGACACAACACCGAGCTAAGAATATTATATATTCCACTCTGATGTAACAAAGCTTATACAACATTCTTTTATACACTGAAATCCAAAAAACTCCTCAACTGAATCTACCAAAGTGTGACACCTGCTGGCATGCTGGTCCTAGACAAGTCTAACAAACTTGAATAAAAGATTCTACGAGATTATGTCACATGGAAGATGTGGGCACTGCTATAGATACATATATACAATTCTAATGTATGCTGGAATATTCTATGTAATATCAACATTGCTTAACACTCCCCCCTCAAGGGGAACTAGGGATGTAGATCTCAAGGTCAACTTCACAAGCGTGGATTGAAAACTAGCTGCTGGGAGAGGCTTTGTAAAGGCATCAACAAGTTGCTGAAGAGATGGAATGTGGATAGATGTAATAAGTCCAGCTTGAAAGTAACCGCGGACAAAGTGACAATCAATATCCACATGCTTGGTACACTCATGATGGACAAGATTTTGCACCATATAAATTTTCGATTGATTGTCACAACAAAGAAAAATTGAAAGAGGCACCTGATTGTGTAAGTCACTAAGGAGATACGTAATCCAAAGAAGTTCAGATACAATGCTGGAAAGAGCTCTGTATTCTGCCTCAGCAGATGAGTGAGAAATAGTGGACTATTTTTTTGTTTTCCAAGAAATCAAACATGAACCAAAGAAGAGATAATATAATGTAAGAGATTTGTGAGTATCCAAACAGGATCCCCAATCAGCATCAGAGAAGGCGGTCAAGCAAAAGGTACTTTTTGATGGAAAAAGTAGCTGCAGATCCTTAGTGCCGCTAAGATATCTAAGAACACATTTAGCTGCTTTCCAATGCAGTGTTGTGGGAGAAGCCATAAACTTAGATAATTTCTGTACAACATAACAAATATCCGGCCTAGTCATGTTGCAAAAGGAGTAGTACAAATGGCTGCCTCTTGCAAGCCACACTCATGTAAGATATCTTTAATGAACTTAGATTGAGAGACAACAAGCCTAGAGAGAGTGTACTCAATCTGAATGCCAAGGAAGAGGTCCACCTGTCCTAGATTCTTAATGGTGTACTCCTGATGCAGAAATTCTTTGACTTCAGCTATATGAGACAGGTTAGGCCCAGTAAGAAAAATATCATCCATATAGGTAAGTAAGCTGGTGAGACAGTGGTCACGGTCAAGAGTGAAAAGACAATGATCATTTTTGGATTGAGTGAAGCCATATTCAATAATTTTGGCAGTAAATTGCTTATACCACTAGCGAGGGGCCTGTTTGAGGCCATAGAGAGATTTCTTAAGTCAACATACTTTACCAGCAGGGATCTTGCTTCCTTGTGGTGGCAACATGTAAATTTCTTCATCAAGGTAACCATGGAGAAATGCATTGTTCACATCAAGTTGATGAACCTCCCAATTTTATAGAGGCCATGGCAATTAGAATTCGAACAATAATAACCTTTGCCACTGGAGCAAAAAACCCCTTAAAATCTTTTCTTGGAATTTGCAAAAATACCCTTTGGCAACCAACCTCGATTTGAATCTTTGGATGCTGCCATCTGAATTTCTTTTAATTCTATATACCTATTTGCAAGAAATAGGGCGGGCACCTGTAGGTAAGGTGGTAACTTCCCAAGTGGCATTCCTTTCCAGTGCCTCAAATTCTTCTTCCATAGCAGTTCTCCAAGCGACATCTTTATGGGCCTAGACATAGCAGGTTAGTTCATACATATTAACAATAGAGATACTATGCCAAACAAAATGAGATGATGAATCAGAGTGAGTGTTGGAGGTATGGATAGGGCAAATGTAATCTTTCATCCAAATAGGGTTTTTGATTTATCTCATTGGCCTAGCAGAGAAAGAAGGAGAAATGGCGGAGGAAATAGAGGAGGTAAGTGCCATAGGATCAGATGTAGGGGAAAAAGGATGGTAAGTCCATGTTGGTTGAGGAAATAGGATGGGAAGTGTTGTAAGAGGAAGAGGGACTTGAACTGAGATGATTAGGTGAAGAACTTGGTGGGATAAAGTTCTGATCTTTTGGGCTAAGGTTTGGAGTGCTGGTTAGGAAAAAAAGTGCATGAGCAGGAGAAATATCTGATGAGGTAAGGGAAGTTGGATAGGTAGGGATGAATGTAGGAATGGATGGAGACATGTCAGAGGACTGACTGGCAGATCATATCTCCGGTTCGGCTCTGTAGGGAAACACATGTTCATAGAACTCAATCCCTAGCAATAAGGCATGTTTTGTTCTCAATGTCAAAAATTTTGTACCCTTTTTGACCAGATG